GACGAGAGCCGGATTCCACCACGCTGCCTCATAATATATTACTTTTTGTCACTGTCAACACTTTGAATCTATTTAAAACGATTGATTGTCACTCCAGTTTCTGTGTGATAACTGAACTCAAGTTCAAAATATTGTCAAACGTATTCAGTGGGCTCTCGTGGTCTCGAGGTTACAGTGTTCGCCTCTCATTGAATAGGTCCTGGGCTCCTAACTTGACAGCAGCAGAACATTTTCTTCTCCAAAATGTTCTCCCTTCACCGCCTTCCCTGCTCTCTAACCCTGTTCTGTCTTCTGCTTTTGTCTTCTCTTTCTGCCCCACCCCCCTTTCTCCACGACGTCCCCTACTCTGGGATTCTGACTCTTTATTTTAGCCTTTCTACTGCTACTTTTTGAAGCCTTCTTACTGCTGTTTTTCAGCCCCAGCCCAGGTAGGTGAGATCCAACTCGTGGCCTTCTCGGATTAGAACGAAATATCTCGGAGGTCTCGTGTGTAAGTAGCGCACGTTTAAGATCCCTTAGGGGTCAAAAATCGATAAGAACACGCTTCGGCCGCCACCAAGGCAAAATTATTCAAAACTGATTTCCACCATCATTCAATTTAAATGTATAATGAGTCTGGGCGCTCATATAACCTTATGCAGGTGTGAGCACCATAAAACACATATCCACCCTCCAACCCTCCACGGTATTCAGGGCGGTGGTCACTGGGTTGTGTCCTTGAGAAGGACCCTATAACCGTAGCCCAAGGCAAGGGTGATGCACACTTGCGACCAGAAGTGGTTAAGTTAGTGACATTTTGGTAAATTGTTCATGTAATTATATAACGTTAATGTATTTGTATATTCATGTACCCAACTGTTCATCAAATTTGCTAAGTACAGTTGTTTGAATGTATTATCTTTACATTGACAAAAACACCCATTTTCCTATGTACAATAATACTGAAATTTCAATAAAAACGTTACCACAGTGTCCAATCCGAGTGTAAAAAGCATGAGAAAGAAAAGAGCCGCCCACAGCTGGGGTACTGGCAGGTAGGAGATCGCTTCTGGGTAGGCCACGAACGCTAGACCTGGTCCTGAAAGTATGCCAGGAATGAAAGAAATAAAATAATAAATAGGCTATTTTTTTATAGGTCAGTTTGAGTATCACTTTCCGTAAGAATTTTACGTCACTTGCCTCACAAATAGGTCGCATATTGGGTTAGACAGAAGTGCCCGCCAGCTCCTTATGATAGGTTAGCACGCCTATGAGTCTAGACAGTATCGAAGAACAGAACAGTCAGAGAGAAAAAGTTTGATTAATTAACTATGGTCATCATATATGTGAGGCAACGCTTTGAAATCAGACACTCGTCAAAGCAGTGAAATAACCCCCCCCCCCCCCCCCCCCCACACATTTTCTAGACTTTGGGCAATTTTTTCAAAGTTCCATTTTACTCTTTTTATTTTATTTTTTCGCTCAACATCTTGTCCTTTAAAATACACATGTCGTGGATGTTACAGACACGTCGACTATACTTTAGGCACACAAAATGTACATTTCCAGTCTCAAAGGATGCTCAAGCTTTGGAAATCACCAAAGATTGACAGTCATTTCTCGCTAATTTAACCTCTCATATCAGGCCCCCACCTCCTTCAATCTCAAAAATCATATCGACCTCTATTCAAGACAGATGTTTTTTTTTCTCCACATACAAGACAAAGGAACAAGCTTTAAGATGATGTTAATAACTCCACATTATGTTCAAAAACTAACGAGCTCCTGATTCCACCACGTCGTGACACGTATGGAAGATAGTGAATCAATCATTGATATACGCATATCCTGAGAGGTTTATGAATTGTGCTTTGACGCAGTGAAATCTAGCGATTGTTAATTTCTGGGCATATATTAGAGGAGCTGTAATAATTTTAAAGCCCGTTCATTTACTTATGCTTTTTATGGTTTAAAATGCTCAACGTGACGAAAAATGTCATTTTCTTCGATTTCATTATTTTGATGAGCGCCTGATTTCCCGACTACGCCACACAATATCTAAATAGTTTTGAAGTCAACTGGTGACGTACTTCTTTGTATAGGCCTAAGGTAACTTTACAACATGAACTAACGCACACTGAAATAATGGGAGACAACCGGTATTTCACCGATACCGATAGATCTGTGCGTGCTACTTTCTCTTTACCTGTCTTTGAATTTTATGTACCGTCCCGTCCCACTCATTTGTTAAAATGTAGGTGTTTTCACACGCCGGTCGACACAATTTAGACCATGTAGGAGGCAAGTTTCGGCCCTACCTTTCCAGGCCAGTCTTTGCTGAGTTGGATACCATGTCACGATTAACAGAACGAGACGCTCGATGAATACCCCCCCCCCTCCCGACCACACAGACACTTCGGAATCAAACCCGGGTCTTCTGTTGGCGACGTCAAACCACCTAACACCTACGACACAGACGCCCCCCCCCCCCTACTTATTTATATGAAACTTGTTACTAAGAAATAATATTTATTATAAACAAAGCTCTTTGATTAGCTCTGACACATTCACACACATACTCTCTCTCGAATAACTTACACTTTGTTCCCTTGAGCATTGTGTTCTGTTGTATCAGATAAATGTAAAATATAATTTTGTCTATTAATTACTTTAACAATTCTATTATATCTACACCAGACCTATATCAAACAAAATCTCACCCGCACTAGCAAAACTGGCAACTGGAACGTGTCTGTTGTGGGCCATGTGACCCAGTAGCGCAAATATGGCAAAACCAGCGAATATGCTCGTGCCCTCACACACAATCACCATGAGGATTGAATCTCTGAAATGTATCATTATTGTGTTGTTCACTTGAACCGCACCGACAAAACCGCTCTATAGAAAACAATTAAGTGAAAAGTACGTAATAATACTATTCGCAGACGAAAAAGGATAAAGATTATAGTTAAGACATATCAACAAACAAATTTAACACAAACAACAATTAATTAATTACATTGTAAGGATCCCCATGGAGGACATTTGTGAGGCAGCGTGGTGGAATCAGGCTTTCGTAAAAATAATCAAAGTGAAGAAACTTACAATTTTCCGCAGGTTTGTGAATTTTTATCAATTTTCTTTTTGGCTCATCACCTTTCATGCCCATTAAAGAACTCATTTCTGTGTGGATTTTTCTGAAAAGCTTTGATTAAAGGCACAAGAAAAACGTAAATTTTCAGTTACCACGGACTCTTCAGCTAAGGAAATAACTAATCTTTGGCGCCATTTTCTCACTAATTTTACCTCTGAAAACAGGTGACCCCCACCTCCTTCCTTTGCAAATATCTCGACTTGTATTCAAGATAAATGGATATTTTTTGTATCCAAATAAAGACTAATGAACAAAGCTTTGAGATGATATCAATAACTCTACATACCCAAAAACTGACGAGAGCCTGATTCCACCACGCTGCCTCACATTTGTTCGACAATGGAACACATACAATTAGAAATACACACATACATAGATAAATGCATATTTGTTAATATACCAATACAGAACACTTTCACAAACCTGCCATTGCTGTGTTTTGTTGGATTTTTTTAGCAAGGGTTGTAGTGTCTTTTTCAACCACCCAAGTAACCACCCATGTAAACCTCGTGTCACCGACACTTGCTCGACATTATTTGTTTTAGTCTGATCTCACTACTCACTTAACCCCTGGAGCCCCCAGATAGGTAGGACAAAAATATAAATAGATTATTCTTACTCACTTGATACAGTCATTGTTGAACTTGTTGTAGCTCGCCATTGTGATCAGAGGTCCCAAACACGGCCCGAGTGAGGCAAAGATCTGCACACTCGCCTCCACCCAGGTCTCTGGATTTAACACCTTGCTGTGTGTCACGTGATGAAGCAAAAAGGAGAAAGAACTCAATATGCACGTGTAAAACAGGGATTAAAACAAAGGAAATTATATAAAGTTCACCCCTCTTTGAAAAAAAATAGACCTCACAATGTTCTAAAATGGAGTACAGAGAAAACATTGTTGGTTTAGTTTTAGTAGGAGTCTTACAGCAGTTGCAACACAATCAGGTAATATAAGAGCCGAATATTAGAGTTGTTAAAAGAGTAACAAACACGAAGAAGGAAGAGAGAGACAAAGACTACAAATATATAATATGAAAGAAGGAGCAAACCAGACTAGAACACCAGTCAACCACTCACTAATAGCACTATGAATCATATTTTATATTATACTGACCATAAAAAGGTACCACTTTTATTGTAGCTTAATAATATTATGAAAACTAGTCCTTTAAGTCTTTACGGTTTTCTTTTCCCTTGAGTAATATAAAGTGATTAAAAGTAGGCCATGTTGCAATAACATGTTGGTGCTTAAATTAGCGCTCCTGACGTCAACGTAAAAAAAGAAGAAAATTTGCAATTTTTTCCCCCACAGCATGACGGATAAAAAGAAAAAGAAATAATATAAGATTGAGTTGATTAAAAGCCACAACAACATTACATACATCATTGACGCTGCAAGAAAGATAGTAGGTTTTACTCAAAATCAGAGAAATCGAGAAATCGGCATGAGGCGCACAAATGTAAGTTTTTTCGGAAATTGTTGTTTTTGTCTTGACGTTTCTTTGACTTGCCTGAAATCTGGCGTGATGTAGAAGATAATTCCATCAACAGCTCCAGCTTTTGTGACCCCGTTTATCAACAACACGGTGAGTAGGAGGAAGGGGAGAGTGGCTGTGACATACACCACCTGGAATATTTGGACTGGGTTTTAAAAAAAAAATCTAAATTCCTATACTTATGTGCTTTGTTGGTTGGAAATAATCTATTAATTATATTTGTGTATAATCACTTGTTGCTACCAACGGTTATCATTGTTTTATAACCTAGACAATTTTACAAGCATCTTTGTACTGACTAGACTGTACCCAAACCAAGATGTTATCTCTGAAACTGGTAACAGCCTTATTTCTTTAGCATCCAAATACCTTTAGTAAGTTGTTCTGTCGGTTGTTACACTTTAGGTGTTGTACATAATCAGTTCAATTTTGTGTTTGTCTAGGTGTAAACTCAAAGATATAATTTAGTTTTACAACTTGGGTCTGCAGTTTAACAAGTAACAGTAAGATACTCAAAGCCTTTATGTCGAATCAAGAGCCCCCAAAACTACAGTTGTCGCTTCCTAAATAAATTTTTATGTTGAGCGAAAATACTTTGTTTCGGGGTGGAGAAACTCTTATCTTTTACCAAGTTTACCACAGTTTCCCGCCATTCACTCACCTTCCCTAGAGACCGGATTCCTTTGAGAATACTAAGGGCGACCACGATGTAGGTTATGAAGATGGCCACTCCTGACTGCCACGGGACTTCGCCCAGCTCCTCAAAATCCGGGACAAGTTGTAAGATATTGCGTCTGGATCAATGTTAGATCAAGAAACGTTTATAATAACATCATAGATTCTGAGGTTAAGAAATACATTTTAAGTAAGCATTAATTTTTAGCTGAGGGAACAGGACAAACAAACAATAACAATGGCACATTTAGCCCCCCCCCCCCCACCCCCACACCACCCCACCCATCAATAATATTCTAATCCATAAAGTTTATCATGGATGTCGCATGCAAGATTTCAACATCAAGTTTGCTGAACAATGCTGAAGCCTACGACTATTTAATTGATTTATATAATTTTGTATTTGTTGTTCCTGTTGTTGTTGTTGTTGTTGTTGTTGTTGTTGTTGTTGTTGTTGTTGTTTTTGGTAGTGTTGGTGGTGTTGTTAATGTCGCTTTTTTCTGTTTTTGTTTTACCGACCATAGTCTTCATATTATATCCACCCGGCGCTCGCAACTGCATAAGGTCATAGAGCGCCAAGGGGTGGGTGTCAACAGATAAGTTTTTACAGGGAATCAGACTGAGCAGTCTAAGCCTGATTCCCTATAAAGACTTCTCTGTTGACACCCACTCCTTGGCGCTCATATGACCTTATGCAGTTACGAGCGCCGTAAAACCCTCTACTATTTTTTTTAACCCCACTTTTCGGGCCACAATGGCTTTTTCACTTACATCCAGAACTCCTCACCCGATCCCACAAATGAAGCGTTGACATTGACTGTTTCATTGGAAAAAGCAGAGGCGGCAAACCTCGCATCACTATGGTTGAGATCTCCCAACAATGTAGTTGTTGTGAGGTTGTCTGAGAGAAGGTAGGCCTGGTCGGGCGTGACGCAGTTCTCGGAGTTCCACCACTGACCACACTGTGTCCAGGGGAGAGGGGACGTAAAGGAGTTGGCCAGGAATAGAAGTGACCAGGCCAGAGACACGGTGTAATACCAGGTGTAGACGTAAAGTACAAAGTTCATGGAGATGCCGATTCCTGGTGAAATCACAGTTACCAAAGATGTGTGTTCTGTTCTATAAGTGTGTGTATTTGAAGCATACTTAAATGATGAAGATGCTATAACCTGAAGAAAGCAGGTAACAAGGAAAAAAAAGAGAGAGAAAAGGGAGAGAGAGAAAGAGAGAGAGAGACAGACAGACAGACAAACAGAGAGACAGACAGAAAGAGAGAAACAGAGAGAGACAGAGACAGAGACAGAGGCAAATAGGCAGACAGACAGAAAGACAGAAAGACAGACAGACAGACAGAAAGAGGGGAGGGAAGGCGAGAGAGAGAAAGAAGAAGAAAACCAATTACTTTTATAAAGATGATGATTCCCGGTAACAAAATATGAGAAAAGAGAGAGAGGGAGAGAGAGAGAGAGAGAGAGAGAGAGAGAGAGAGGGGGGGGGAGAAAGAGAGAGAGAGATGGAGAAATATAGAGAAAGAGCGAGAGAGGGACAGAGAGAGAGGAGAGAGAGAGGGAGAGAAAGAATGAAATAAAGAGAGAGACAGAGAGAGACACTGAGAGAGAGAGAGAGACAGAGACAGACCGACAGATAGACAGACTGAGAAAGAGCGAGAGAGAGAGAGAGAGAGAGAGAGAGAGAGAGAGAGAAAGAGAGAGAGAGAAAGAGAGAGAGAGAGAGAGAGAGAGAGAGAGAGAGAGAGAGAGAGAGAGAGAGAGAGAGATTTCTTAGTATTCAGAGAGATGAAGAAAGACGAGGGACAAACATGAACGGTGTAGTAAACAACTCTTTTTGACTCCGATTTTTGTGTATATTGTGCAGAACACGGCAGATAAGTGTGAATTACCTCTGAACAGTGGGCAGATGTTCCATACGTGTATCGTGCTCAGGTTGAGGAACTGACCCATAGAAAGCTCCAGCAAACACAGCGGTAGTCCAAACAAGATCAGACATGATATGTAGGGGATCAAGAACGCTCCTGAAATTGACAAAGGAAATAAAACTATCAATGTCATTCTTTAAAAAAAAACAACGGTATTAGTCTCTTTCTCAAAAGGCGTCATGAGCATCCAAATAAGGAGGATGTAATATTCGGATCTTCATTATGTGATTTACTACGTTCCATGCACCTAGAATGGACCGTTATTTAACTTTAGGTCACCTCACCTGGACATCACCAAAAAGAAAAAATTAAATACTTAGCTTACATTGTTTCGGAATAGACTTTTACTACATTGTGCCTCGTTACATTATTTCACACCAAGGAGATGCCAACGTTTAAACAAATGAAATTGCTGTAACTTAATATGGCACTTTGTGACACAGGGCCAGTTTGTGTTTCGCCGAGAACAGTTTGGGATCCCCGAGGATAAAGAGCAGTGCTAACTTTAGTGGTTGGTTGACTATTCATAAACCCTGTTTATAAATGCTATCATTTCGAACGGATAATTTCTTTTCTCTAAGGGAAACAATAACAATGAATCTGCAATTACTGCCGAATACATTCAATGACGAACATGAAGACCGCTATTTTTTTTAATGACGAATGGCGGACGTCATACAGGTCACGAAGGATTACGGCTGCTCATATGGTGATGTTCGTAGAAGATTGTATTCTTATCTTGTTGTTACTTTGTTTTAAAAAGGGGCGGTTTATACCAAACAAAACCAAACTAACTCATTAACCCTCTGCGTGAGTTCTGGAAAACAAAATGCTAAATTTTAAAACAGTGTAAGGGGCACACATGCATTCTATATTATGTGAAACTTATAGGAAAGTAATTAGCTAACTACATCTGGTAATTTATTTCTTGGCATAAAAGATTTCTTATGAATTACGATCAACCATAAAATGTTGCATTTGCTTCAGTTTTGCTAAAATATGCACTGTCAGACAACTCTCAATGCGTTTAGAAACCTGCTGATAAGACACTATCAACCAACAACATAGAGATGATATAACACCGTGGGAACCTCGAAGGTACTGGAAAGACTACACAGTTACACTAAACCAAAGCAATCTATGCAGGGCTAAACTTTACTTGTCTTCTCTCTCTCTTTGTCTCTCTCTTCCTCTCTCTCTCTCTTTTCTCGCTTTTTCTCTCTCTTTCTCTCTCTCTATCTCTCACTCTTTCTCTCTCCCCTCTCATTCGCTTTCTCCTTCTGCGTGTCTGTATGCCAGACTCTTTCTTTTTCAAACACCTGCATTCACATGCAAACAAACAAACAAATTAACTTACACACAAAATCAGACTCATTCTGTTTCCATATCTATATTTGATTCTCCTTAACAAGATTATACACCTCAAGATCAATGTGCAAATGTTTAGAAGGAAGATTGTAATTATTGTTTTTAGCTTATTTGTTTTCCTTTTTTTCTTGTTAAAAGTTCTCTTTAACGTATCACATTTTGCTCTGTCTCTTATGTTCTGCAGATAATATTGAATTTTTCAGGACATGGTTTTCAACTATCCTTAAAGAGCATAATAGACCTAGTGAAATACGCGACATGTTAAAAAGACGCAGAAAAAAACCAAATGGGCAAGATTAGGTTAAGGAACTACTTAAAGGCATGTTTAAAAGCTCTTGTGGCAAAAGCAGCATCTCCAATATTTTAACTTCTGCTTTCCTCATACCCCTTTCCCCCTCTATAACTTGCTAGCCAGAGCTGTTTTTGCTTTTTACTCTTTGAAAATTCTTGGTCATAAACGTGTGTGTCGCTGGTTAGGTACAGCTTTGGTTCAGTTAAGCTTTTCCCTTTAACAACATAATACAATTCGTGAATCATAGAATGTTATCTCTACATATTTCACTTGTTGGGATACAACGCAACTTGACTCAAAGTTCCATCTTCCAGTCACTGTACGTAATAACCCAGACGCAGGGTTGGAAACATTTATACAAAAACTTTTGTTCACATTGATTATAATAGATTACCTCCTCCGTTCCGAATGCACACATAGGGGAACCTCCAAACATTGATGACACCCACGCTGTAGCCAATCACAGACAAGATATACTCGCTTTTCCTCGACCACTGGTACCGAGAAGCTCTTTCTTCGTCCTCATTGTTGTCTTCATCTGTGCCACTCTTATAGAGCAGTCCTCCGTGGTTAAAATTTGACGGCTCATTATTTCCTCTTTGACATGCGTTAGGAAAAAAGACATGTTCTAAGTCTCCTGAAGGGTAGAGGTTCTCTGTGTCAGGGGTATCTCTCATTTTGATGAGAGAACAAAATTCTGCTCTCGAAACGCCGTGTAGTGCACTTTTCCTGGCCGTTGTTCATAGACACACCTCAGTTCTTGTCTGCCCTGATAAGAGATTAACAAGACCTGAAGAAAAGTAATGAGTTTAGGTCAGTAGTACAATTGAAGGACAATCAAGATTAAAAGCGAAAAACTGAAGGTTAAACGTGCTGACACTTTCCTTTTTCGGAATAATCCGTCTTTGATTGATATTAGGATTTCTGTACTAATTGTTTTATAAAATCTTAAACTTGGCACTCTGACGTATGTTCGGGTTATTATAGAGCGCATCATTTGTCTTAATTTGGTGCTAGTTGACAGAACCCCCCCCCCCCAAACAACAACCACAAAACAAATAAACCAAAAAAAAATTATGCCGAGCGCACTCGACAATTGTGACCCTAGTTTTCTGCCTACAATTATTTGGACGTAATAGCGAGACAGATAGTGGGCATACTTTGTTGTAATTAGGGGTTTTTTTTCTTGTCTTTTTTTTAGGGGAGGGGGCGTTTTTGAACGGGGGGGGGGGGGGGGGAGGGGGAGGTCGGTTCGGCTTTTATGTTTGGATATAGTGTGAAAAACGGTTGTCATATTAGTGCTCGATCTTGGATATGGTTAGTTTCACTATTATTATTATTATTATTATTATTATTATTATTATTATTATTATTATTATTATTATTATTATTATTATTATTATTATTATTATTATTATTATTATTATCATTTTCATTAATGTCATTGTCATTATTTTTTTGATTATCATTATTATTGTTATTATTATTATTATTATTATTGTTATTCAAGTCAGTCGTCAATCAGTGGCACTATAAGATGTAGAAAAGGAGAAATCTGCAAGGCGTTATCATTTCGCTGTACTCTGTGGTGTGGGAGTGCGCGGTATGCTTTCTCTTTTGGGTATATGTGGAACGTTTGTGTATGGTAAAGGCCGAGGTATTAGCCTTTTCTAACATATAGAATATAAAAGGTAAGATACGATTTTATTTATAATGCATTCACGCAAATTCACTCGTCAACACACATAAACATACGCACACAAACATAAACAAGCACACATGCACATATAAACACATTTACACGTGCATGCACTCACTCTCGACCACACACATACACACCCACACACTCGCACACACACACACACACATGCACACACACATACACACACACGCGCACACACGCATTAACACACATTTATGTACACGGGCACACACATGAATTGTTACTGGAATGGACAAACAAAGTGTATAACCTATTAGTCTTTGTTAAAAGGGGGCCAGTGATATGACGATCTGGTTCTATGAGAGAAGTATAGACAGCCGATCTATTCTGATCTATATGTCTGTCTGTCTGTCTGTCTGTCTGTCTGTCTGTCTGTCTGTCTGTCTGTCTGTCTCTCTCTCTCTCTCTCTCTCTCTCGCTCTCGCTCTCGCGTTTTCTATATTGTGTGTAGTGGTATGTGTGAGTGTGTGTGTGTGTGAGTGTATGTGAGTGTGTGTGTATGTATGTGTGTGTGTGTTTTGGTGCCCCTTCAATTGCTCTCTCTATATCTAATGCTCCTTTCATACCAATAAATCTTTACGTTAGGACTATTCTCAAGACGTCAGCGTTTAGACACTCATCCAGCTGCCATGAAGACTGCGCCGTCAGTTATCGCCGCTTACGTGGCAGTCTTTCCAAATGTAAGTATTATACACTATCACCGACACAAGTTAAATCACTTACAAGAAGACCTGCATTCGATTCCCAAGTCGAAAGAATTTATGACGACTACCATCTTGGTGTTTTGCTTAGTTGTTGTATCTGTCTAAGTCCGCATTGGCCCTGAAGTGCTGGGTTGAAGCCTACCACCCTAAATAATCTGATTGGGATGATGGCGACGTAGAAGCTCCAACGTACACAATGAGTGGGATGCAACATCTTAGGCGGAAATACTCTGCTAAACAGCACACTTTCCAAGCTGTGAATTAAACTTATTTCCACTGCTTGAGACGACTAAGGGCCTTACCAGCACACCACAGACGCTGGACTGTCAGTTTGCCTTGTGAACATTTATCAGCAACAGTAGCCCTAAAAAAATGGCCTTCATAAACCCATTAAAATCAACCAAAAAAGAAACCAAGTACACAATACAACCCCCAGAGACCTTATGTTTAACACCGAGAAAGCGCTCGCCCTAACCTACGAGTTGACCCTCTACTTTATACGAGCACAGTTATAGAGGAGTTACAGTCCGATGCAACGTTAACTTAGCTTCTCTGGTATCAGGCTAGATTACAGAGCGAATGGTACTTGTTCAAATCTCCAACTTGAGTTGTTTTTTGGGGGAACCTTTTAAGGTTCTCCGCCCGTTTGGATTGGTTCTATTGGAAATGGACGTTAAATTCGGAGTTGCTACCTCTTAAATAACCTGACAGTGTTAAAGATGTCTCAAACCTATGCATTAACCAATGGCCAATAAACAATACATAGTCTTTTATCTTTTAATTTTGTGTTGTTTTGTTTTTTAAATAAATCTAATGTGATATTTCCATGTTTTCTGAGGTCTAAATTGTGTCGATGAATTTGTTGAACATTGGCAATAGGCTAGACATTCCGGAATCTGACCGCTGGGTATTTTTAGCAAGAGAAAAATCAGAGGTCAAGGGGGACTGAAACGGGTAGAGAAGATTTAATTTGATGATGAAAAAGTAAAGGTAACAATAAGTGTATGCCGGAGGATTGTACTCCGTGACAACGTGCTGCCATGACTGCTGGTCGTCGCCGCTTTCATGTATTAAAAGTCCGCTGCGAAGCGTTCACATCAAAAGCCGCGACATAACGCCCAAAGTGAAGGGCACTATATCAATCTCGGGATATTATTCAAAAGTATATGGAGACCATTTTGCTACCTTAAAATTATAAAGTTCTATCTGACCTTTTGGCGTTTCAAGTTACTAAGACCCTGGGGTTAGAAGCTATAAGTGTTCTGTCTACTCTATCAAAATCGTAAGATTTATTGGAGTCGTTATGAAGATGTTCGAATAATTGCATTTTAAAATGTTTGACATATTGTGAAACTCATTTTTTACTGTCATTTATTTTCAGACTAGGTACTGAGCAGATATAAATTTCTAATTCTAGCGTATTGCATTGGGAAAGAGGAGCTTGAAGGAAGAATGCAGGACAGGGGAGCCAGGTGTAAACAAAGAATAACATGGACGGACAGCATTAAGACATGGATTGGCCAGGGCATGGCAGTATCTGGAACGCCAGTTGGCGACCGTGAGGTTTGGAGGGTCATTACGCGTCAACCTCTGAGTGAGATCCGAGGTGACACCTCCAGGTATATAATATTAGAGAGTACGCCGTACCTTTTCCTCTTACTATTGATCTAGCTTAATTGTGGTTTCCATGGTGTGCAGGAAATACGCGAAGGTGCACAGTCTAGGATTTGTAATACAAGTTTTTGGTGCATAAAAGTTCATGCGTTAAATCCATCCATTTGTGGAGTTACTGTTTCTAAGAATGTGTTGTACTTCCATAATTTGTCCCCCCACCCTTCCCACCCCTATCCAATGCCAAATACAAATACGTAAACGCCAACATTCAAACAAAAACAGTGTGAATAAAAGAATAAATATAAATTGAAAGCGCCAGTTTGTCACTCTTCGTCCACCGAGATAACTTCTAAAACAGAGCAACATTAAATGAAGCAACAAACAAATATTATCAGTTGTTATAAGGACTTTTTATTCGTTTCGTTTGCCTCGCCGGACGTTGATTAAGTAAGCGGTGTTAATATCGTTGGCCTCAATATCCCTAACGAATGGAAAGTTAAGGCACGAATATTGCATATCATTGTAGCAGCAGATTTGTTAAACACTTCACCGTAGTGCACTCAAGAAAAACAGTTTACATTTGGAGATTCATGTTATTATTCGTTTATTACTCCAGATCTTTTTACATAACATAAAATGTGAAAGTATATTTTTCGTTAAAAACGTTGAAAACGAGCTATATATATGGATATGAAGCACTTGTGAAACAATATTCATAATACAGCCATCAACACATTCTACGATGAAAAGAGTAAACAAAAAAAGTAAGATAAATAAGCAGGCAAACGTTTTTTAAAAGAAATCAGAAGACATTCAACACATAACCCCTCTAAAAAATAAATAAATAAATAAACAACGAAAATAAAACGAAAACCCAAAAAACAAGGACATATTGAACAAAGTTTCAGTTAGATTGCATCTTTGAAGAAAATCATGTGCAGTTATAAACATCTTTCCATTAAACGGAAAAAAATATCAGAGTAATAAGAGTGCTTTTGGCTTTACTTATTACATTCACACATTATGATTCATACTTCATGAGACAATACTGTATCAATATTCATAATGATAATAATGATAATCAAAATAATAATAATAACAGTTATTATAATGAAAAGAATAATACTACTAATAATCAAAATAATAATAACAATAACACTACTACTAATAATAAAAGTAATAACAATAATAATAATAATAATGATAATAATAATAATAATAATAATAATAATAATAATAATAATAATAATAATATAACTTAGAGGTTTCAGAATTAAAGGTCTGGATATAATGCTGTCTATGAGCAGGGACAAAAAATACTTTCTATTTTCTATTGCGTGCTTTTATTTATCTCTGTATTTATTTGCGTGTTTTGTGGTATTTTTATTTTTTAATTTTTTAAAATATTACTTTTTAGGGTGGAGGGAGAGAGGTAGTTTTTTTTTTCTTCTCCTTTGCATGGATTGCACACAGAACGTCAATATGTACACTGAATATTATGATTATTATTTACAGAATGAGAATACAGAATGAAAGGAATGATTGACTACGGCGGGAAAAAAGATTAATATCATATTGCTACATTGCCATTTTTATTTCATATCAGAGACTTGTAATATTAATCGATAGATACTAATCATACTAATATGGAGTATATTATTGAAATGTCTTCCAAATGGAACAACGATGGCAATCTGTGTTCTATTTGATTCAAACTGACTGAAAAGATCGACATTATATAATGATTATCTTTTAAGTCATTCTAAATACCTAATATTGTCACGTCACGTAGGTGGCTAATCTTCGGTACCAGCTACCTGCAGGTGCGAGCATGTTCTCTGTTTTGTTTGTTTTTGTTTTTGATGACTTTTGTCTTAACGCCATGGTCCTTAATTGTTTGTTTCTTGTCATTTCCGTAGTTTTGTTTGGTGTTTTCTTTTCTTTTCTGTTACTATTCAAGGGAAAAAAAGGAGGAGGAGGGGGGGGGGGATAATTATTTTTTTTACTACAAAACCAGAAAACTCACTGCACGCATATACATAACATTGACAGATTAATGTGCTATCAGTACAAAAAGTGCATGTTTACATTTTTGAGATGTCTTTGAAGTATCAAATTTGTCCAAAGTTTAGATCTATCTGAGCTGTAACATTTCCATCGAATTATCTGGTATTTCACTGAACATAGTTTTGTTGTTCATTTTCAACTGCAGCTCTTAGGATCTCAAATTGGTTAATTAAATCTTCACCGCATTCAAGTTAGGTGTTAGACCTACTTCCTATACCACATAGGTGTAATATATATTTTACAGCAGCAAACAGTGCAGTTAACTCCAGAACTCTAGCCCTGCAGACAACAGTATCAATTTTATTTACACATCCCTTTACGAATAAAGTTGCTACATAGTTTTACAATTTTAGACCCCATTTCAAACCTTGTCAAATAGCCAAACCTTTCTAAAAGACGAATTAAATATTCTAAAAAATTGTTAGCGACACTTTAGCAGGTCACAAAAAACATGATACACCACACGAAGTTTGTGGAATGGTAACAGAACAAACTATAGTCTGCTCTAAGGAAACATCGCAAATTTTAGTATGAAAAGATATTACCAAAATTATTATTAAGAAATAATGAGGAAATAATGATACATTTGCATACCCGGTCTTTATCATCTCAAAGCAGGAAGATTAAGCAACGTGTTTAACACATATGTACATATAGCAAGGTACTAGGTAAGACATATTTGGAGATAGAAGTTGAAAGTATAAAATATTTATATATATATACATATATAATAATATCGACAAAGCCATTTTCGAGCTAGAGGTCAAACTTGTAGTTACAACAGAGCATTAACACTTGTCGAAATGATAAGAGAGACAGAAAGAGAGAGAGATAGATAGATAGAGAGAGAGAGAGAGAGAGAGAGAGAGAGAGAGAGAGAGAGAGAGAGAGAGAGAGAGAGAAAAGAGAGAGAGAGAGAGAAAGGGAGAAGGAGAAAAGGGACCACGGTTGGAACCCTATGATGTACTTGATTTTATATTATTATTACGCGAATTAAGCATTTTATTATTTCTTATTATACGCATTAGTATTATTAGTATTATTATAGTCACCATCATCAACTATTTCTAAAGTGTATTCCAAACAGATTGAGCTCAATTCTATGTGCAAGAAAAATTGTTTAAAGTAGCATATCTAACGAGCAGCGAATTGTCTTAATATCAGATCCCGGCATTATCTGTCTCTTCCATGTTTTTCATGCTGAAAAAACGAGCATGCCACAAGCTTCGATTTTTTAAATCGAGCCTTGCAATCTGCAGTATCTTATTGAAAGAGGAGTAAAATTCAAGATCAGTATCAAGTATACCCTTTTATTTGCAAATCTCAAGGTAGTGGTTGGATGGACCAACGTATGTAAATTAAACAGCTTCTGTCTCTTTCCCTTACAAGAAATAGAGACAAGCATAATTATGATTAAAAGACAGCTTAAATGTGATGTACGTTTCTGATATCGACGTTTTCTGCCAAGCACGGTTGGGATGGTTGAAGCTCGTTACCATTTTTGTAGTCAGATGTAACACTTTATAATTTCACTAACAAAATAGCAATATTTTTCATTTGACCATTTCCTTCTGCTACATACGTACCACCGTTTCAAATTTCATGAAGACATTATAGTAACATGATCATCCAAGGCAATAGCTACGGTGGATAAAGCATAATAATTTACAGGCAGTAGGAGTTACGTACCTAGTTGCCAACATAACAAGCTCACGAACCTTCAAATCCAAGACACAAATGTCTCTGTAAACTTCATGTCTTTTCTTCTGCATCATTTAGCATAGACATGGCGACAGAAAAAGTAGGATTTTAAAAAATAGGTTACATGATTCCATTCTTTTGTTTCAATTGGACTGGGCAAATTTCTGATGTTATGGATCCAGAGGGTTGGGTTCCATGTACAACACTTCGTCATAGGAGGGCTTTCACCTCCTACAGACGGGGTAGCGGTTGACACAAGTGAAATCTTCGGAGATAAGACTCTGAGTAAACTATTTCTGCATACCTAAGCAGTGCTTAAGCATTCGCCTTTCTTGTCTGTAACGGATCTTCATCCTGTTACATGCCGTTACGTTAACGTCACAGAGTTCTATACGTTGCAGTCTGTGTTTACGAGCATTTTCAGTTATCTGTCATAATTTTTGTTTATATCAAAGATAATATGTTCGTCCATGTTGGCGTCATTATTGCTTGATTCATGCGGGATAACAACAGAACAATAAACAATTTAGGTTTTTGTGTTTGTTTGTTGTTGTTTTTTCCCCCCAGTGTTCTGTTACACCTTCTGATTCCGCTTTCCAAACCTGTTAAGACATTTGAATGTCTTGTCTCTACCTAATTCCAAACATGACACTAAGCACAGTTATCCCTAGTCTCGGTTGCACATAATTAAATAAAAGCGTACCTCGGCCGTCTTTAATCAAAACTCTACATTCTTAAACGCTTCTACGTACACACAAAAAATCCTTGCCTTTTTTTTTTTTTTTTTTTTTTAAAGTCAACTTACGATATGTTATCAGCCCCTCGTGTTCTGCAACGGAACTGTATCTTTACAATTATATTTAGACATGGAAAAATTAGTCAAATAGCCTTTACAAATAAAAGCTTCATCTGTGCCCTGACTTACCTTTTTGACAAGTTCTTTTGTCAGCGCAGAGCCATTGAATTTTGACAATTAATATAATTTTTGAGCTCACATAATCTAAACTGTAGGCCTAAAATTGCAACGATAAAATGGGATTCAATTTTAAAGTAGGATTATTTAACAGTGTCAAAATAATAATTATTAACTCTTCTGCATTTGCCTTGTCTACCAAACTCTTACAAATCAGTTTCGTATGCTTGATTAAATGGGGGTAACTAGCACGAATCAGGAAACAGTGAGAAATTATCTTAGAAATGCAATGATTTGATATTAGATCCCAACTTGAGAATTTACGTAAATCTCAAATCGTCTATCAAGAAGCGTCAGGAAAGGATGGTAAAATCATTTTAAAAATTAATTGATTAAAACTGTTAGCACCTCCATTAACACAACTGAGATCATTTTGGAAGCAGGTTGCTTCTACTGCACATATAAGATATAAATATAGTGTTAGTACTTGTAGCCAGTGTACTATCAGTTTACACATCTAATTACAGTTGGAAAGAATCACTATAGACAGTCACGTAATGTTATAACAACATTAATTTGAACTGAAAACTATATAGTTGCATTCTAATAGAATCCTTTCTTATACACCTTTAATACAAAAGAAAAGGACTTTTAGGTTTTAGAAAGGTTATTCAACTAAGTGGTATTTCTTACCAGAACAGAAGAAAGTTAATAATACTTATCAAAGAAAACATTTGAATAGCGAAAATTCACGCTCAACAGCATGCTCTAAGCACTTTACACTCTATATTACAGCAGAAACAATTTCAACTTCATGGAAAGCACAGAGTGCAAGCTGCCATTCTGCAGGCGCTAAAACACTAACACACTCACAAAATCTTTCGCTGTCTATGACTGGGTATCCATTCACACCTGGGAGAAGTGGGAAAATTCGTGTAGTATGTCTTTCCCAAGGACACAACGTTGGGCCTGAGGCTCGAACCCCCGAACCCGCAACCTCCCGATAACGAGTCCGGGTAGCCTAATCACTAGAATACCAACACCACAAAAAACTGTCGATAACAGCAGATAAAAAATATGTACATGCATAGGCAGGTAAGAGTGGACTGTCGTTATCTTTGGTAGCACCTCTATTGAGTATGTCATAATATGGGCACATGAATATCTTCTATTTCAGACATTATGAACGACTTATTGTTAAAAAAATGTGGCATAGTAATATCATGTTATTAAAAGTAATAAAGAAAGACTTTATTTGCAGCAAATACATCGTGTGTTACAGACTCGTAAGTGTTTGGTGTCCATTCGGTACTGGTCTTTTAGGCTTGGGTCATTGGGCTCCCACTCACTAGATGGCGTGAGAGTGATCCTTAGGCGCTGTGGTGGAAACACAAAGAAGAAGGAACATTTACATTTATGAACAACAGACGGTCAAAATAATATTTAAAAATCAAAATCAATTGTATTTTTTTTTCTATTATGACGCTAGATACGGCGTAAGAACTATCAGTTGCGATGTTGTAGAACCACAAAGAAGGAGGAAGTTTTTAAATAGGAGAATACACAAGATTAACCATAACATTATTTAATGATTTTGATAGCAACACAGTAGTTTTGTTCTTGGCTATTCCCATGAACAAATACATGTAATTGTTTTCTGAGTATCTAGTCTTGTATGTGGGAAAATTATAGTCAACTCATCTTGGTCCCAGAATAATGTACCACAGAATAGTTGGGTTGATGGTTGGCTACTTGACTCTTTGCTAAGATAGTGGATTCGGAAGTTCGAGTCTCAGTTCGCTTCGATTTTGTATAATTGGAAAAATTACTTTAGAGGAATGGTACCTTTTGGCTCGTTGCTATCCGAGATTGATGCTAAAATCGGAAACCCGAACTCTAAAATATCCTTAAAATGTTGCAAGTGGCGATAGAGGAGAGAAGAATACCACGAAGAGAGACACAAAGAGAGAGAGAGAGAGAGAGAGAGAGAGAGAGAGAGAGAGAGAGAGAGAGAGAGAGAGAGAGAGAGAGTGTATGTACGTGTGTGTATGTGTGGGTGTGTGTGTGTTTATGGAGCGGAGACGTTTCACCACGCACTAAAATTAAATGTATGTATGTGTTTTCTTTCCAATGTGTAAGTAGGTCTGCACCTGGCCTTAAAAACACTACTACTTCCATCGTAAACGATCACGGCTAATTTCTTCCTAAGAGTTAAATAACCGGACTCAATGTCCCTTCAGTGGAAACGTTTAAAACTCATTCTTTTGACAAAAGGAACAGGAAAAATTTCCTTCCTCGCGAATTCTTTTTTTACACACCTCCAGAAATACAGTTTTGGTCTGTCCCCTTTTCTCTGAGGAGCACACTGGCCAGCTACG